TTCACTGGTGCTCCGCCAGCGTATCCCGTTAGCGCAGGCGGGATTACCATACCATTTTTACCCATAAAAAAAAAACAGCTCTATTGCTAGCAATACCAGGTTAACCTCCACGAGATTCCACCTGGAAACTATCATAGACAATTCTTGTGGAATTCGTCACGATCAGTTAACTAACCTGCTTTCATTCTCACCTATTATTTCCCATTGGCACCTCGCCAGTGTAAACTGATAGCGTAGGCGGAGTGACCATTCCATTTACACTCATCGGAAAAAAAAACATCGTAATCCTTAGGAAAATTAATACATAGGGATGCTATGGGCATCACAGTGTATTCTGTAATATCAATGAAGCTATTCATGTTTAATTGCATTTCGAACTGGGTGGAAGTTTAAAAAAAAAAAGATTATTAAAAAATGTTTATTATTAAGTTTACTTGAATAAAATTATTTATTATTATTAAAAAAAAAACCAAAATTCACATATCCCCTTTTAAGGAGAGAAAATGGTACACTAACTAACCCCCAGTAGAAGAACAGTGAGCCAGGATTCAGGGCCACAGGGATAGAAACCGGCGTACTATTCGTGCAGTATCCAAGAGCACCGCTTTCGGTTTTATTATTATTTTTTTAATTTTTTACAAAATTCACATCTCCCCTCTTAAGGAGAGGAGATGGTAACTAGCCCCTGGTAGAAGCACAGTCGGCCCGGGTTCAGGGCCCCAGGAAGAGAAACCGGCGTACAATGCGGGCAGAATCTAGAAGCACTGCTTTCTGCATCTTTCCCGGGAGTGAGCTGCCTCGAAATCCCAACCGTCTAAGATATTGTTCCAGACTGATTGGGATAAGACCGTTCACCGACAAAACGATTGGAATGATTTCGGTGGACGTCACCCCCCATTATTTATATATTATTATTATTAAAGGTGACAGTTACCATTTTCCATTGCGTAAACCATCAGCTTGTTTGCTATTCTAAGTATCATAAAAAAACAACACTTAAGTCAATGAAATTTTTATTAATAACATCTCACTCAAGTCAGATATGTGAAGAATTTCACGCCAGCATTTTTGTTATGACGGCAAATGATACTAGAACTTATCAGAATCTCTTAATGACGTTACTGTACGAAGCATAAAAATTTTAAACTTGATTAAAAGGTGATAATTCCCTCGCTGTTGGTATGTGGTAGTCGTAAAACTGATACCATTTTGAACAATATAAACGTCTCTTTACTTAATGAACATCTGTAGAAACATAATGTACATATAAAACTTGGAAACTTGTATCCAACGTCTACAGATTTCGTAATATATTCCTATGACCTTGACCCTTATAATTATTTTTTAAGAATTGAAACATGTTTAAATACACAGTTTATCTTAGTTTCATCTTAAAATATCTAAACGGCTAATAAATGATGCAATGTTTGAAGTGAAATTAATATTATAAATAGACAGTTGTAATGCCGATGTAATGAGATTAAAAAAAGAATGTGTTTGAGTCAGTTTGGGTGACTTGTAACGAATCGAATAATGTTTTAGGTTCTGTACAAAATTATATATACAAATTTAGGACTTATTATGTATTTATAATATTCTTTTACATTGTGGAAATCTGTATTTAACATTATAAAAGAGTATATTAATGAAGAAGCAAATTAATTGCGTACGTAATTGCGTGTGTTAATGCTTTCATAACATTTAAACAGAATCTTACAATGAAAAATAATATAGTATAAACTAATAAAATAAAAAATAATGAGTATAAATAAAAATGTGTATTCTTTTTTATGATAAAAAAATGTAAAAAAAAATCTCTAATACTCAGGACACAAGTAATTAAAACAAAATAAAAAAATAACAAAAATAAAATCAAAAAAAGTCATAAATGCTATCCTTACCAACAAGTTGTTAAACTAATCGCTGTATCTATTATTCAATTGTAATAAATTTAAAAAAAAGTTTAAATTTATGACTAAATATCGTGATAATAAGTAAAAATCGTAAAGTCTCTACTAATGATAATCAATTATTTAAAATATATATATATATATATATATATATATATATATATATATATATATATATATATATATATATATATATATATATATATATATATATATATATATATATATATATATATATATATATATATATATATATATATAGTTCTCTGTGTGGTCCCTACATAGAATAGGCCTTCCCTTCCTTTCCCATGGGTGTCGTAAGAACCGACTAAGCGACGGCGAGGAACGGGAGACTTATGTTCAACAGAGGACCGTTTAAGAGCTGATACGATATGATAATGTGTGTGTTCATCGTTTTCAGTTTTAACAACAGAACTCTAACAATAAATTAAGATTGTCCACCATTAACTGTGCATTAATATTGTAAACTAGAAGATAAAGCGTAACAAGATCCGTAAACTGTTTGAAATTCTCAACGTTAGTAGCTGCTTAAATTATATATTATAATTTGAATGTCTTTATAAAATAATAGATTAACTTTTTCAATGTATAATGTTGATTTAGATTCGAGATGTATGGATGTGAGTGGTGGTTAAGTGTAAGTGTGAAAGTGTGTAAGTGTGTGTGTAAAGTGTGGTGTAAGATAGAATAATGCGGATTTGAATAGAGTTTACGAAGAAACTGAGTATATTAGTGTCAGCTAGTAGTTTTTTATTGTGATTATGTTTATTTTATTGTACATCATCATCATCATCATCATCTTCCTACCCTTATCCCAATCATTTGGGGTTCTATTGAACATTGCAAATAATTCCTCTCTCTCTCTCTCTCTTTCTATATATATATATATATATATATGAAATTAATTGGAAAAATAATTAAATTAAAAAAATTACATTTTGGAAAAAAATACATAATAGTTCCAATAGTTTTCGTCATGCATTCGTAGGATACAGATCAGATAAGATATTCATTAGAATAGACTAGATGAAACTCCAAGTTAAATATTTATATTGGAATTAGGCCTCTCTATAGTTGTCATCGTTGAAGCAATAAACAAAGTAATAAAGTGCAAAAATATCATAATATAATATCATCAAATAGAATAATTTAACAGATGATGGGACATTTCATAGTTACGAGTACATTCAGTCACAGATAATATAATACTGTACTAGACTGAGTTTAGAAAATAAAACTCAGCGATTAGCGCTGAGATGTATATTCATGTTAATTTTGCTGCTATAAATTGTGCTTTTGATCCACAATAGATTAACAATAACTTAAATTGCAACAAAATTAATAAGGAAATAAACAATATTGATTTTTATAATCAAAGAATTTTTAAAATCAATTCAGAATTTGTGCAATTACGTAATATACAGTTGAACTACATAAAGATGTAACACAAAAGCAAATGAATGAAGTTTTAATACAACCAAAGAGTTTTACTAATCGCTGTAATGCAGCAACGGTTACCAAGACTGCGTTATTGCTACGCCAAATTTGGCAAGTGCAAATATGACGTATTAAAATATGTTTATAATATTGCAGTGATATCATTGAGATGTTTATTTAAATATATAATTATCGAACCCAATAAAAGAATCATTAATGTCACACAAAATTATAATATTGCACTCGTTCGTGCAAGAATCAGCTAAATATAAAAGCTGTGATAAATGACAAGAGTGATTTTTGTTTGTAATGATTTTATATCACGCTCGTTACTATTTGCTATTGAAAATGAAATATAATTATTATAAGTTAAGATTTAAGCACAATGTATTAGCTCCTTTAACGTGTTATTAGCTGGAGTGACTTGTGATTTTTATTAACATGTGATATTTCACTTGCTACGTGTGAAATATTCCAAGCCTACTAGCTTTACGCGTATTTGCCATTTGTGTAAATACGTCACCATACATCAAGTACGGGGAATAGATACACGATTTGCGGTATAAGAAGGTGTTAATGTCGCTAAGAGGTAATTTATGTTGCTGAAAATAGCATTTCCTGTTCTGTATGCAAAATATTCTAAGTGTTAGACAATTTGTATGGAGCGTGGAAAGCTTTTAATTTAAACATCGCCTTTCTAAACGCGGTGTTTTCGTAGAAATGGGAGTTTCAATAGAATTGTTTGTATACGTATTTAAGTACGGGTTAAGTCAAACTATTGTGTAGTTGTGGGGTTATTAAAAAGTATTGTTCGTTCGAAGTGTAAAAATAAATTTGAAAAATTGACTTTTTAAATAAATGTTTATTTAAAAGTCAATTTCTCAAATTACTATTACTATATTATTATGTACATAGGTCTTCCCCATAAAAGTGGCAGCGGTTGCTACTAGTTGCTACGCTTGGCAGGCGGATTAGCAACCGCAGTTAGGCTTTGGTGATGTTTTAAGAGGAAAGGGACGCTACTGCCCATTTCTCGACCATTGAATTCTTTTTGTCGTCTTTTACGACGCCCACTAGAAAGGATGGGGTGGCCCATTGTATGCCGGGACCATACGGCGATTTTTCAAATAACTCTGATTATGTTACTAACTGTTGACTAGTAGTGATTGCAGTCGCGGATATGTTTGTTGTAAATTTTATGTTTAAACATGAAAGATTTTTAAAATCAATAAGTGTTTTATGAGTTTATTTATATTAAACTAAAAGTCAGTCAGAAGTTATAATAAGCATTCAACTTTTGTAAAATACTTTCAAGACTGTCGATCAAATAATTACTAACCGTGTTATGAAAATTACGTCACTTGATAAATAAGTAGTAACAAATATTTACAAACACATACAAATGACAAAATTACAGAGAATCCGACGGTTAAAGTTCATACAAATAAATACTGTACAATGTTAATTTATTTCATTTAAACACTTTGTTATCAAAGGCTTTCATTAAAAACAATTAATGAAGTAAACAAGCGGTGTACAAAAATAAAATTGATATCGACTACAGACATCTCGAGGCGTATATTTTTAGAGCCACTCTAATTACGGCACTAACAAAATTGTAATTTGTTTCAGATCTGGCGAGCCCGCAAACATCGGATCGTTTGTGGCTTGTAATCGAGAAGTGGCGGATAACACCGAATGGCGCAATAATCGAATCAATATGCGAGCAACGATGTCGCTAGAACACGATACCAATCGAACTGTCTGAGTACGCCGGGCGCTCATAAACATCTGTGAGGGCATGAGTTTCGACTGTCACAGTGCGTTCATACAAGTGATTTTTTGATTTTGTTGTTAGTGACTATGCGTGTTGTGTATGGACTGTGACGTTCGTGGGGGTATGAGAGAAGGGGTTGTGCAGTGACGGCGCCGGGGCGGCTGCCATGGGCGCGGCGCGCCATGCATCTGCGTACGCGCCCGCTGCGGTTGATTCTCGCGGCGCTGGCGCTGGCCACCTGCGCCGCGGCGCCCGCGCCAGAGCCGCGCGCGCAGCGTTCAGCGAACCTCAGCCACATAACGGGCACCTCCAGAAAAATACAGATGTTCCTCAAGAATCGTTATCTCCAGTTGCTGCCAGATGGCACTGTCAACGGCACCACCGACGGCAACAGCGAGTACAGTGAGTCATTATATTTTGTTCTATGCACTTAATTTTATTCTATATATTCTATATTACACTTGTAACTTACAAGACGAGTGTCTTTCTAATAAGACAATTAAAAGGCATCTCTTCCAGCCAACACAATGTAGTGGAAAAGGATATACGGATAGTTAGCGGATAGCTAAAGTGCATGCGTGCTGTAAGAACGACATTTTTTTTTATACAACTTAGAATGGCAAACAAGCTGACGGCCCACCTAATGGAAAGTGGCAACCGTCGCCTATAGACATGAACAGTATCGTGGACATAATAGAGTATACTGTTTCGCCCATGATACCCCCATGCGTTGCCATTCCCGAGAACTCGGATGTTATTCCTCTGTACCCTGTAAATAGACACTAATATAGAAAATACGAATTATATAATTAATAATTTAACCATGTAATCTCGGCATAGAATAGGTCACCCCTTCCTATCTAGAAGGTGTCGTAATAGCTGACTAAGAGAGGGCGAGGGATGGGCAGCAGCGTCCCTCTTAAAACATCTCTAAAGTCTAATTGCAGTTGCCAATCCGCCTGCCAAGCGTGGTAACTACTGGTAAAACCTCCCAAGGGGGAGACTTATGTTCAGCAGTGGACATAAAGGTTGATATAATAATAATAATGATATGATGAAATGAATAATAAATTTAAAATTATTTCTATGTTATTATTTTTTTATTTATTATTCTATAAGTTTGAGTATTTGAAAAGTGCACACGATGCAGTAGCTCTTTGCAAAGCATTAGACGTCGCTCTTAATAAGTATACACCTTGTTATGAAGAAAAAATATTATATCATGTTTACTTTGCTCAAATTTTTTAAATGTATATTTATATTTACATTCATTTAGTCATTACGATCCTGACGCATATCCGAATTCTTAAAAGTTGTGTAATACAACTTTGTTACTTATTATCATCATACCAGCCGTTAATTGTCTAAAAAGGATAAACACTGAACATAAGGGACTGCTGGCAAAACACCCTCCTCTATAGAAGAGGGGGGGGGCTGCCTGGCTGACGACCCCCCGGTCGTCAGCCAGGCATGTTGGCAACCGCAGTTAGGCTTTTGATGATGTTTTAAGAAGTACGCTACTGTCCATCCCTCGACCAATAAGTTTTCTTAGTCGTCTTCTACGACACCCACGAAAGGAAGGGGTGGCCCATTTACGGATATGATTGTCATTATCTCTTTAAAATAAGGATATGTTTCTCTTTCAATGATCACTTTTAATTTTGTATATCGAACATTAACCAAGAATGTCTCCCAACAATTTATTTATTTATTTAAAAAACCAACAGAGGGTTTTCAAATAAAATTAATAAACATTTTATAACAAAGCAGTATGGCCAATAACAGGTTTTACTAAATTAATTTCGTAGATTATGTAGTTGACAATTGTTAAAGGAAAAGCAGAAAAAATAAACAAATCAAATAGGTAAGCAATCGTTGAAGTCACAATAATATTTTTACACATACGCAACACATATATATATACAATAATAAATATATACATATGCACCAATACACAAATATACGCATACATACGATAAATTCAAAAAGTAAAGTAAGTATTTTAATTACAATTTTCAATTATAATGATGTAAAAATTATTTCTTTACATATACAAATATCTTACATACATACAAATTTCTTGCTTAAAAATTATCACCATTTTTATTTTTAACAATACAAGTTAAAAGATTCGTAAGTACACATTATATTTTAATGAATGATTACCGCTTTAACTTACGAGTAATTTAGCCGAGAAAGCTCGACTAATTCCGGAACTATTGGAAACCCTTATTGTAAAGATTCTATTGTTCTTATCCTGAGTGAAAATAGTGATGAGTTAAAGGAAATTTTTACAATAATTTTATAAATGTTACAAAATGAGGTATTGTTGATTAATCATCGATATTAAATCGATTGTACAGATCTATTGCATATGAATATTAATAACTAAGTTTGAGATAAAAGAGATTGACAGGCTACGTCTTCATTAGATAAAAGCCTCTCAATTAAATAAGATAAAAAAAAAACACTCAATAGAAGCGCTCGTTAACAACAAACTGTTAGTAACGATTTAGTTAGACCTCTTTTTGCGTAAAACAAAAACTGCAATGAAATGCAAATTGGCGAATGATTACCATATAAACTAGATCTAGCTCTGAACGTGGAGTCACACGGTTGAGCACTTTACACATTTAGTTCTGGAAATAACTTTATCTTAATAGACAATCAGGTAGCTAAGAAATATTTCAATATAGTAATATACTGGGATAATTAAATGTGGTTGTAACCAATAGTTTCATTTATAGATAACTTATTTTGATCTTCGACTTTTTCTCTGTATCCGGGACATAATTACTGACCGGGACAAAAAGTAGTCTTTATACCTCCTTCTCCATTCCATATAGTACGTGTATATCAAAATTTCATAGTGATTAGTTCAGCCGTTTAGACGATTAGACGTAACAAACAAATTCGCTTTCATATTGTAGAGAAATTATTGGGTTTCTCTGCTCATTTATAGATTTCGAAGCGGTACCGATATAACCCCACCACCATTATCATCATATTAGCCCTTAACGGTCCACTGCTGAAGATAAGCCTTCCCCATAAGGGAAGTTTTGCTAGTACTTGCTACTCTTGGCAAGCGGATTGGCAACTGCAATTAGGCTTTAGATATGTTTTAAGAGGGACGCTGCTGCCTATCCGTCTACCGTTAAATTCCCTTAGTCGCCTCTTATGACACTCTCAATAAGGGAAGGGTGTGACCTATCTATGCCGGGACCACACATATTACCCATTTCGAAATTTAATTCCGCTAATAGTAGCATCGGAGCTGAAACCATAGATTGTTGGTGTGGAGGAGTAATCATCAATACCCGAAGCTCATAACATTTAATGTAAGCCATATATCGTCCATTGTTGATTTACCACCAAATGAGGTATTATTATTTAAGGATGACCAAAGAGCATCCCGAGGATATCCGCAAAAGGACCAAAATAACCGACATAGCCCAAAGGATAAGCAAGCTGAAGTGGCAATGGGCTGGTCACAGTGCTCGAAGAACCGACAACCGATGGGAAGAAAGGTTCTTGAGTGGCAACCGCGTACGGGCAAACGCAGCTTAGGACGATTCCCCACTAGATGGAGTGACGACCTAAAATGCATTGCAGGGAATCAGTGGATGTAGGTGGCTCAAAACCGTTCTTTATGGCAGTCTATGAGGGAGGCTTATGCCCAGCAGTGGACGGAAAATAGCTGAAATGATGATGATGCTGATGGAGCATCTACTAAAGTTAATCCTTCGCTTCAATTGTTTGTAATCTTACACACCAGAGGGAGATTTTGTACAAAAGTCGATTGCTTGAATACCTCTGTCCCATTCGTGTTTCTACCGTGAAGCAATTGTGTTTGCATGGCTGTGTTTCGGTTTGAAGGGTGGGATATGGCGTGAATTTACTGGGTACAGAGGAATAACACCCGAGTCCTCAGGAATGGCAACGCATGAGGGTTATTATGGGCGAAACAGAATACTCTGTTATGTCCATGGTACTGCTCATGTCTGTAGACGACGGTTACCACTTACCATCAGGTGGGCAGTCAGCTTGTTTGCCATTCTAAGTTGTATAAAAAAAAACATAATAATGGTAGCTGTATTAGACAAAATGGTACTAATGATAATGATATCATTGACTGGCACAAAATCATTCTTAATGGTAAAAAATCAAATCACATCGATACATTTTTTTTTTGTGTATCAAGACATAATGTATTGAGTTTTTATCAACTTTTCGAGTTTGATCAAATTATAAGAAACTTTTTTTTTTTACAATCAACTCAATGAGAAATCCAAGGTTTATCTTATGATATATAAAAATAGTTACAATTATATTTGGAAATTACGATGTTAGAGAAAAAAAAAACTTCTTTGTTACTTCATTACGTTACTTAGTAACTGAGTAACAAAAAATCTAGTACTACCTGACTCATTTCTTGCATAAGCCATAATCTGTAAAAGATAACAATTGCCTCAGTTTATTAATAATAATAATTTACGATATGGTCCCAGCATAGAATGGGCTACTGCTTCTTTTCCTGTGGGTATAATAAGAGGAGACTAGGAGGATTTAATGGTCGAGGAATAGGCAGCAGCATCCCTCTTAAAACAACACCATCAACTATGGTAGCTAAGCCGCTTGCCAAATTTGGTAACTATTGACAATATACACCCCTCCCTTTATGGGTATATGTTATATTAAAAATCATTAATTAATGAGAAATTCCATGCCGTATATTGGTTTGAGAACCTGGAAAGAATGAGACCAGAGGGAGACTTTGTACAAAAGTCGATTGCTTGGGTACCTACGTCCCATTCGTGTTTCAACCGTGAAGCAAGTCTTTGCATGGCTGTGAATATGTGATGTGTGTGTGAATAACACCTGAGTCCTCAGGAATGGCAACGCATGGGGGGTATCATGGGCGAAACAGTATACTCTGTTATGTCCACGGTACTGCTCATGTCTATAGGCAACGGTTACCACTTTCCATTAGGTGGGCTGTCAGCTTGTTTGCCATTCTAAGCTGTATAAAAAAAAAAATAAAAAAAATGTCAGAGTTAAGGCTGATAAAACAGCAAATATAATGCAAAAGGTGAAAGATGCAGTTACAGAGGAAGGTGTAACTATATATTTTATATTACTAACCTATAATGATCATACAGATCATATGCTGTCCGGTGAGGAGTTAAATGTTTTCGAAACCAACGTGCGTAAACGAGACGAATTACGAAAACGAACGAAGATTAGATATATATTTAAGAATAGAAGCATTTGGTACTTGTGCCTCTATTTTTGGTCCTTTCTAATCACCCCGTAATATACTCGTCGTGAAGATAGACAAAACCAATTAATATAATACACTGAAATGCTAAGCCTCTCCCACGGCCGGTAGACTTTCAATATTT